TGGTATATAGATATTATTTGTAATTTAATTGTTATCCATTGTATGAAAATCCAAGGTTATTAATGTAATCTTGAACCGTATGTGGTTGACATACAAGAGGATCGTGTTCACGTAATAACCTAAAGAGTCTATGGTATATGGATAAGGTTGGGTGCCTTATCCTGGTAACCCTATTGATACGACCCACTTTGTAATCGTGACAAATGATTTGATCCAAATCGTTCATGTGGAGGAGACATGTAAGTGGGAGTATCCTACCCAATAAGTTTGTATAAGACTAACCAACAAATATTTAATCTCTCTTTATAAATTCGTTAATTGAGAAGATTAATATTTCACATGATGATCATATGCTACTCGATCTTAATCCTAAGTGAGTTATGAACTCCTGCTTATGAGGGCTTGTCCTTTAATTTACATGGGTGAGAATGACTCTTTTAGCCAATTCAATATGCCTACCATATTAGGGACTTGACCAAACAAGGAGTTGGGAATATAATTCCATGAGATGGAATTCACTTCTTTTCATATAAGGAAAGTAGATGAGCTATTCTCTTAAGTACTGAGTTCGAGACTTGAACAATGGAGCCCCACCCTCTCATTGGCTCGAGAGGGACTTGATTTATGATTGGATCATAAACAAATTGTTCATTAGAGAATTAGTGGTACTTAAGGTGAAAGATGTAATTATAGGGGTAAAACGGACTTTTGACCTAGCTATAATTATGAACAACTCGTGAAGGATCAACTTGCTTGTAATGGTTATATCAATGAATATAACTTTTCTAACGGTGCATAAGAGTGCAACTATAGGTTTATAGTAGAGTTACTTATAGTTATTGAATGAAAATTGATGAATTAAAAATTTAATTAATTAAATTTGTATCATTGGAGCTTATAATATATAGGTCCATAAGGTCCGCTAGCTTATAGTAACGCTAAAAGGTTCAATTTATTTTCAATTTATTTAAAAGAAAATTTGAAGTATTCAAATTGATATTTAATATATTAGATATATTAAAAAAAAATATTTATTGTATTTGATACTATTAAATATTAAATCAATGAATGTATTTTGATACATTAAATAAAAATATATTTAAAATTTGAATGAGATTCAAATTAATTAAATATATATTAGGATATCTTATTATCTAAATATGATTTGTATAAGGTATTATATTAGATTCAAATTTTAAATATATTTTAGGATATCTTATTATCTAAATATGATTTGTATAAGGTATTATATTCTAATATATTAAATATGCAAATATATTATTGGACAAATATTCTCCAATAATCCCTATAAATAGACCTCTAAGGTTGAGCCAAAACATGCGAACTTCTCCAACTCTCACTGAGAATGCAATTGTATGATATGAACCAAAAGACATTAATCATACAATATGCTTCAATGAATATGTGAAGAAATATTGTTGAAATTATCAAAAGATATTTCAATTCATGCCACATTGAAGAAGAATGAAGTTTCATGTTATAAATTTTTGGTGGATTACAATTTAGAGTAATTTAGAGTTATTGTATTTCATTAATGTATTTTAAGACTTTTTATTTACTTTAGGTTACAATTACATCATAGTTAATTATGGCCCTTAAGTATGAATGTTTCAACTCTTGGAATTTCTTTAATAGTTTCATTTTGAGGGTATATAAAGGCATGTATGTTGTAAGTAGACTTAGAAAATATAGTATAAGGAGCATTTGTGCTTTCTTTAGCCAATGACTAAGTTTAGGTTGCATGTAGAATCATTCAAGCTCGACATGATCAATCTTGTTTGTGGAGTGATTCGAATCTCAAACAATGTTCTTGCCTTGAGATATTCGATCAACAAGGTAATACGAATCTTACTCCCCTTGTAGTGATTTCCACATATCATTTGAAATCAGAGCTTCAAGCTTATGATCGGATATATGTTTCCTTTGCATTTTTTTCTTCTCAAAATTTGATTTTTATTTATTTTTATCTTTTTAGTTTTTAATCGTCCCAGAGTTCAGAATTCAATCTTTGCTCTATTTAAAATTTTGAGAGGTTAGAATAAGAGTTTCATTTGTGTAAATTTCATTTGTGTAAATGAGTGTAAAAAGAATGGCCTAAAATTCTATGAGTGTATACTGGTGAAAGATTGTTGTGAGGTCCTTTGTATTTCCATAACTTATTTCTTGCAGGAAAGTTTCACAAATAGATTTGAGGATTAATCCTCTTGAAGAAGTGAAGAATGATATGAACCAAGAGATATTAATCATATACTTCAATGAAGATGTGAAGAAAATATTGCTGAAATTATCAAAAGATATTGAAGAAGAATGAAGTTTCGTATTATAAATTTTGGGTGGATTACAATCTATAGAGTAATTTAGAGTTATTGTATTTCATTAATATATTTTAAGACTTTTTATTTACTATAGTTTCATGTTATAAATATGTTTCACTGCGTTTATCTCTTCTAATTCTCTTATATATTTTTTTTCGGAATGATATTCTATCACAAAAATATATTACAAAAAAAAAAAAAAATACATTTCTTATGTTCTTTAATGTGTTAGATGTGGATCTTATCAACACTGTGTTCTTCTTTAAGATCTTCTAAATCAATTTTCTTGTTGATAAATTGATTAGATATTGCCTTACAGAAGAAAAAGAAAAAAAAGCTTATTGATGTTACTCTCATATGTTTCTATGTCTAAATTAGTCTTTAATCATTGTCTTTCTTTAATTCGTTTCTTTGTCGTTATTCGGATTGCTCTTTTAATACCTTTGGTTATGTGTTGAGTGTGTTGTCTATTCACTTTGAATTGCACTTAGCTCTATAACATAGCTTGTCTCCCATCCCAATTTTTCATTTTTTTTAGTGTGATTTGTGTGTGCTCAATTGTGAAGGTGAGTTTGTAAGGGAGTGATACATTGATTCTAGCGTTGAGTGCTAAACACGAGTAAACTACATTTACGAGTGAATACAAATCAGTAAGCTTGAGTGAAAAAGAGTAGAGATTGAAAAAGAATCAAGTGAAAAAAAGAGCTTGAGTGAAAAACAAGAGAGTAGCACTCAAGCCTAGAGAGAAAAAAGAGAGAAAAGTCAAATCAGTAAGCTTGTATGTTAGATCAAGTGAGGCTAGGAATGTTTTGCTCTCTAACCAGATTATTCTTGTACTTATGTGCAAAGGGTCTTGTTACTTTACTAACACGCTTAACCTTTCTTTGCCTAGTGATTTTGTTGTGCTTTTGCAAGAGTTTGCAGATTCATTTTTCGAAGAGATGCTTAGTAGTTTGCCACCACTTAGAGGGATTGAACACAAGATTGACTTCATTTCTAGCGTGCCCATTCCAAACTGTCCAACATATAGGACTAATCCAAAGGAGGCTGAAGAGATACAAAGGCAAGTAAGCGAACTCCTTGCTAAAGGGTATGTACGTGAAAGTTTGAATCCTTGTTCTGTTTCAGTTATTCTTGTACCTAAGAAAGATGGTTCTTGGAGTGTGTGTGTTGATTGTAAGGTTATAAACAAGATAACTATAAAGTATAGACATCCAATTCCTAGATTAGATGATATGCTTGATGAGTTGCATGGATGTAGTCTTTTTACTGAGATTGATCTAAAATCGGGTTATCATCAAATTTGCATGCATATTGGGGATGAGTGGAAAACAGCTTTTAAAACGAAGTATGGCCTATATGAATGGTTGGTTATTATGCCTTTTGGATTAACTAATGCACCTAATACATTCATGAGACTAATGAACCATGTCTTACGAGAGTACTTAGGTAAGTTTGTGGTTGTTTATTTTGATGACATCCTTATTTACTCTAAATCTTTAGATGATCATATTACCCATGTACGCAATGTTTTGACTACTTTAAGAAATGAATGTTTGTATGCAAATTTAAAGAAATGTAGCTTTTGCATGGAAAAAATTAACTTTCTTGGGTTTGTAATTTCATCTAAGGGTGTTCATGTTGATGAGGAGAAAGTGAAGGTATAAAAAATTGGCCTACACCTAAAAGTGTAAGTGAGGTAATCATGGTCTTGCAAGTTTATACCGTAGGTTCATTAAGAATTTTAGTACAATTGCTTCACCCTTAAATGAACTTGTTAACAAAGATGTATCTTTTAAATGGGAAGAAGATCAAGAACTTGCTTTTAACACTTTGAAAGAAAAATTGAGTTATGCTCTCTTACTTGCCTTACCTAATTTTGAGTCTACTTTTGAAATTGAATGTGATAGTAGTGGAGTAGGGATAGGTGCTGTATTAATGCAAAATCAGACCTTTAATGTTCTTTAGTGAGAAGTTGACTGGTGCATCTATGAGGTATCCAACTTATGACAAAGAGCTTTATGCTTTGGTTCGTGCATTGCAAACCTGACAACATTATCTTTGGCCTAAGGAGTTCATTATTCATATGGATCATGAAAGTTTAAAGCATTTGAGAGCACAAAATAAACTCAACCGACGACATGCTAAGTGGTTAGAATTTATTGAAACATTCCCTTAAATATAAACAAGGTAAGAGAACATTGTTGCAGATGCTTTATCACCACTACAAGAATAATTGATACAATAGCTTACAAAAAATGCTATCGTAGACTTTTTATAGCGTTTTTCGTACGTCGTGACAGCCAATGTTATTAAAAGTTCGAAACTTTTTATAGCGTTTTTGTATAGCTATAATAAATGCTATAATAGAATTTAAATTATAGCTTATATACGTTGCTAGGAAAACATATTATAGCATTTTATTAAAGCTATAATATATTTAATATAACTAAAATATTGGATTATCATTAGCTTCTAATAACATTTTTTTAATGCTATAATATATTATTTATAGCTTTAATATGATGCTATAATAAAGTTGTTTATTCATTTATAATTATTATAATAACATTTATTTTTCGTTGTATTTTAAGAATGATATTATTTTAACTAAATAAACACCGAGAAAATATAGTAACACATTAAATGTCATACTTCCACTTCTTGAAATAGGCATCCAGCCTGCAACTTTCGCTGGCTCACTACCTATTCAGATATGATCTATTCTTTATTCAATATTCAATAGAAAGAGGGGAAATTCTTCAATCCAATGCAGACCATCGACCTCCTAGGCCGGGTAGCAAAGAAATAGAATTGGGCCACAACTTCCATTCATAATTGAAATTTCATTACATTAGTAGTATTCAATCATTTCTTGAAATAAAGAAGTTATTCAAACCATAAAAGATGAATTATTATCTACTATTTGCAATGATGTTAAGTCCCTCTCCCATCCAGTGCAAGTCCTCTATCATCTTTAATTTCCTATAAATAACCAACCATCTTAGCTTTATATATAAATATATATGTTTTTTTAATAAAAACCAGAGTATAGAATTTGTATCAATATGTGTAGGTCATGACCTCATCTTTAGTCGCACACCTACATCAAACGTACATTATTATTTGAATAACTAAGTAAAAAATCAATAGTACCGATATAACTAGATAATGAAATAAATCTAAAATATATTTTCAATACACAGTTGAAAATATCAAAAAATTCATAAATGAGATCAACAATCCACAAACCAAAACAGTCTTACTTCTTTCTCCCCCTTTCTAACCCTTTCTAAGATGCATTGAAAAGAAAAAGTAAAGAGCAAAGGATATCAACAACAACCATAAGAGTTCAAGTATCTTCATTGTGATAACTATTCCTCATTTTGACATTTCCCCATTCAAGTCCCTCCATGATACATTTAAACCCTTCAAAATTAAAATTTTAGAAACTTATAGCAGCATCACTCCAACAAATAATAGATACAAAAGTTTACTATCTTCAAATATAAAGATCCAGGCATAAAAGTCTATGACCAACCAAGGCAACATATTAACAATAAATTAATATGAGAAAGTAGATAGGAGCACAATGGAGACAAAGTCCTTTTGAAAAACATGATCTAATCTACAGAACGCTTATATAAAAAGAAAATCCATATATTGCCTCATGAAATTCAAAAACTAGGCAATGTATTCCGTCTGCAAATTAAAGTTACATCTAAGAGTATAGTAGATGCAGAAGGCATGATAATAGAAGAACATAAATAAGTATGCTAGAATGCATGTTTTCACCTGAATAAGTAGAGGCTGGTTTTCTGTGTCGTGGAAGTGTTGGTAAGGTACATAGTTTCACCTGAAAAAGTAGAAAGTTAAAAACTAACAACACTATTATTTTAAAGAGTACGAAAACAAATTATAATACATAATATTTTCGGTAAGGGAACCAAATTGAAGGTAACCTATTACTTTTAGGTTAAGAAAAAGAAAACTTTCAATTTTAACATGTTATAGTATAATCAATGCTAAATGTTTAATGTTTAGAGAACTTAGAGATAAAACCATATAATTGTCTAAGAAAATTATATTTCGTAGCAATTAATTGCCACTGAAACGAAGGTGGAGTTACACCATGAACCACAAAGAATTATGAAACAATTAAATTATATGAAATCAACTAAAAATGGTAAGATAAAAAGCCAGATTTCATCTTTGTAATGCACTAAAGACATCCGATGATTTGTTTGAGACAAGTAGAGAAATTTATATCCAAAATTTTGAAAAGATACTTGTTTCATATAAAGGCATGGACTATATAAAGCAACAGAGTAGCTTACCAGTTAAACTTCAGCAATAACTACAAGTAAAGTACTATGGTAGAGCTAACAGTTTTAGTCTAAGATCCTTCCATGTAGGCCAAATCATCATTACATACGAGGTGGGGTGTCATGAAAAGCTAACTAGATTATTAAATATAAAAAAATCAAAGGTAAGAATTAGAACTTAAAAGAAAACCCTAGAATGGATATTGTGAATGAATAGAGTTTTAACTAACAATAAATAGAGATAAAATCGAATAGAGAAGAAATAGAAAAATACCTGAGTGAGTAGTGAAATGGGAGAAGGAAAGAAGGGAAGAAGGGGAGAAGGGGAAAATGTAGAGGGAGTTGAGAGAGAAATGGAGAAAGAAAATTCCGTAAATGAAGAGACAGAAAAAGAAAATGGGCGAGTGGAGAGGGAGAAAAATGCTTAGAGCTATTAAGATTTTTTTTTAAAACCCAACTTTCCCCCTTTTTGCTTGAGTGCAGAGAAAGAGAAATGGGCTGCTTGACTTTTTCTTTTTTTTTTCTTAAAACTTAACTTTCCCCCTTTTTTTTTTCCCTTCTTTTCTTATAGATTATTCTTTAAAATGTTGTAAAGAAAAGCTATTATATAGTATGTTTCTTCTAGTGCACGAAGGTATGTCCTCCTGAATACTTTGAATGCTAAGTTGTTGGTTTTGAACACAGGATTTGTATCAAAATGACATGTTCTTTGCTTCTTTTGTTGAATCTTGTGATAAATGACTCATTGTGGATAATTACTTGTTAGATGGATTTTTGTTCCGAAAAGGCAAACTTTGCATACTATCTTGTTCCATACGTGAGCTACTTGTGAGGGAAGCTCATGGAGGTGGTTTAATGGCACACCATGGAGTTTCTAAACCTTATGATTTGCTCTCTGAACATTTTTTTTTTTTGGCCTAAAATGAGACATGATGTTCATAAAATTTGTGCTCGTTGCATAGCATATAAACAAGCTAAGTCTAGGCTTCAACCACATGGTTTATACTCACCATTACCTGTTCTTAATGGTCCTTGGATTGATATATCAATGGATTTTGTTTTAGGTTTACCTCGGACCAGGAGAGGTTATGATAGCATCTTTGTTGTGGTTGATCGATTTAGTAAAATGACTCATTTTATTTGATGCAAAACATATTGCTAACTTATTATTTAGGGAAGTTGTACGATTGCATGACATTCCTAAAAGCATCGTTAGTGATTGTGATGTAAAATTTTTAAGCCACTTCTTGTCATCCTCAAACGGATGGACAAACTAAAGTTGCTAACAGAACCATGACTACTATGCTTACCACTATTATTGATAACAATCTTAATACTTGGTCTGTTTGCCATTTATAGAATTTGCATATAATAGGGTTGTTTACTAAATGCACACCTTTTGAAATTGTTTATGGTTTTAATCCTTTAACCCCATTGACTTTACCTATACAGTGAGTTTGTGAATTTTGATGCAACTATCAAGGTTGAGTTTGTTCATAAACTGCACAAGCAAGTGAAAGAACAAATTGAGAAACAAAATTCCAAGGTTGCCACCCAAATTAATAAAGGACGTAAGATTGTCATCTTTAAGCCAAGAGATTGGGTTTGGGTGCATTTCCGAAAAGAAAGATTCCTACTCAAAGAAAATCTAAGCTTTTACCACGAGGAGATGGACCTTTTCAAGTTCTTGAGTGTATCAACGACAATGCTTATAAAATTGATTTACTAGGTAAGTACGGTGTTAGTGCAACTTTTAATGTAATTGATTTGAGTCCTTTTGATGTAGATGATGGCTGGGATTCGAGGACGAATCCTTCTCAAGAGAGGGAGAATGATTGAACTACAACCAAGGAATTTCCATATCTCAAGGTCCAATTACAAGGACGAGAGCCAAGAAGCTACAACAAACCTTATACAATTATATTCAAGGTATGGTGAGCTCATCAAAGAAAATTCTAGAAGACGTTGAAGACCTCCCTTATATGTTATGCAAAGTTGAGCTTCAAGAAAGAGATGAATTAAATGTAATTTAAGTTGCATTTAATGAACTCCGTTGAATATATGAAACTAGTTCAAGGATGACTAATAAACACATTTCATTCATTACACTATTGAATTATAATTTAACTATTTGTTTGTATATTTGATATGAACCAAAAAACATGAATCATACAATATACTTCAATGACGATGTGAAGAAAAAGTTGTCAAAATTATCAAAAGATGTTTCAATGCATGCCATATTGAAGAAGAGTGAAGTTTGATTGTTATAAATTTTGGGTGGGTTACAATTTAGAGTTTTTATGACTTTTTATTTACTTTAGATTACAATTACATAATGGTTATTATGATCATTAATTATGAATGTTACAAGTCTTGGAATGCCTAGTAGTTTCATTTTGAGGCTATATAAAGCCATGTATGTTGTATTTGTAAGTGACTTGAAAAATATAGTAAAAGAAGCATTTGTGCTCTTCTTTAGCCAATGACTAAGTTTCTTTGCAATTCTATGTAGTTTAGGTTGCATGTAGAATCATTCAAGCTCGACATGATCAATCTTGCTTGTGGAGTGATTCGAATCTCAAGCAAGTGTTCTTGCCTTGAGATATTTGATCAACAAGAATCATTCAAGCTAGACATGATCGATCTTGCTTGTGGAGTGATTCGAATCTCAAACAATGTTCTTGCCTTGAGATATTCGATCAACAAGGTAATCCGAATCTTACTCCCCTTGTAGTGGTTCCATATCTTATCAATATTTAAGCTAGTTTTAAATATAAGAATTAAGGTTATATTGTAATCCACCTAGGTTACCATATTCCACCATTAACTAGCCATTTTAATATGGAGGTTATAAGTATTTCTCATTTAATAGCTCATTTAATTTTGGAGTTATGTATCACATAGGTAGGTTTAGGTTGTAAAGATCATATAAAGCCTTCTTTTCTTTGACATCAGATTTTGGAATTAAGAATAGAATTTATATTTTAGATTTGTTGAGAGCTAAGTTTTTCTTTGCAAATTATTGTGTTTAGAACTTACATGCTAGAGTCATCCAAGTAGTATTGATCAAACCTCTTGTGGAGTCATTCGAATCCTGAGTTTAGAAACGAGTTTTCTTTACTCTTGCTTGATCATCAAGGTAATCCATTCCATACTTTCCCTTGGGATGATTTCCATATCATTACATCTACAGAGAATTCTCGAAACTATTTTCTCCAATCCCTTTGGAATTTTCTTTCAAGAGGCTCCCACAAGCCTTGGCCTTGTGTTCGAGTCATAGCAAGGAAGAACTTGTGGAATATGAAGAACGTTTGCATGGTTGGAATACTTCAAGAAGTCGTGCAAGCTATGGTTTCTATAAAGGTAGAGTTCTTACCACTCTCAAATTTATTGCTTTGTTTTAATTCTTAATAAAATCAAAACGGTTCCCAATGCTTCCGCTACGTGGATGAAGAGTTCATTCCCTTCACGACTCCCGATCTTATCTCCTCTGCCAATCCTGGTTGAATTGAATATAGGGTTATGAGTGCCCCCACTCGAGGAGGTTTGGCTTCTCCTTACATCTTGGGACTATTTGTTACTCAGATCAAATAGCCGTTCAGCGGTAACATTGGTTGTGGAGAGGTTTTGTATTCTCTGCTCGTATAGTTTGGACTTTGCCCCTTCAGTTCTTCTATGAAATGAAAGACCTTGTCTTTCTCAGATATATCTCGGATGTCCAACATCAACATCAAGAATTATTTGACATACTCTCAGATATTTCTTGTGTGTTTGAGATCCCACTGTTTCCTTCTAGCCAAGATTTGGACATTCTTTGGGAAGAATTGAGATCAAAGTTCTTGTTTCTATCTTTCCAAGGTGCATCGACCCTCTTAAACATCCATGTACCTCGACCTCCGCCATAATTTCGCATTCTTAGCTAGATGCATGGTGACAAAGGTGACCTTTGATTCTTTTGTAGTTGTGTTTGTTGCCCGAAAGTATTGCTTAAGGACGAAGATGAAGTTCTCACGACCTTAGTGTCTCAAACCCCATGGAAGGGTTTAGACTTGGGGACCTTGATCTTGTTGAACTGAACCGCTCCCCTTGTACGGGTTTGGCTTCCTACCGCTCTTATGGTAAGGTTTACTCTAGTACTAAGATCCGCCATTTTTTGTCCTAACTACATCGATGGTTGCTTTCACATCTTCAGATAGCTCGGTGATCATTTGAACAATTGCTTTTTGGGAGCTGTCTAAACCATCGACTTGCTCTTTAATTAGGGCAACAGAGCCTCTCAAGGTAACTTTTCACTCGAAGCCACCAATCTTGTAGCTTTTGCTTCTAGGTTGTTCACTCAGTACATTAGTTCCTGCATGTGTAACCCATCCAATCGACCTGTTACTATATCAACCATGTTGGTCTTGTCGGTGAGCTCTTTCACCCACTCGTCCAAGTACCGAATACTATTAGGGACTTCTTGAAGTATGGCATTTGTTCTTCTATGTCGACCAGTCGGTCGACGTGTGACTTATTTAACTGCTTCGTTTTAGACATGTTTACCTAATTTCTTTTTGAGTCAACTCGACTCTGATATCAACTGTCACAATTATGCTCTTATGAGCCGTTTGTAGGCGGTTGTGCGACACTCACTCTCATCACCAGGTGAGTCAGCCAACTCAAAATTGTGTCGCCTTTGGTCAAACAATGTATACCCAACTTCTGGCCATGTTGTTTTAAGAAGAAGGTTTTAGCAAATGGGGGCAGAGAGATTTTAGGAGAGTTTGAAAGCAAGATTGAGACAAAGGAAGAAAGTAATGTTATAGACTATAAGCAAAAAAAGATAACACAACTTATATAACATATAACTCTGGATAGTAAAAATTTACTTATTAGTCGCATCTTCCTATAGTACATTCTTTACCAAAACGTCATACACTAGAAAATACAATAAGAAAATTATACATCATGAAAACGGTAAAGGAAAACAATACAGTGATACAATGGAAGGAGTTTTGGCATGCAACGGTCATGCAGTCGTGGACAACACGTCTTGGACAAACATGACTGTGACACTATAACACCACGAAACATTGTGATACGAAGGATACTCTTATAGTCAAATGGAAAATATATATATACACCCCATTTTCTCCATTTCCTCCCCAATTTCCCTATCATCCTTGCATCAATTTGTAGAATTAAGAAAAAGAAAGAAAAGAGAAGAAGGGGAAGAAGGAAGAAATAAAGAAAATAGAGAAAGTAGGTTGGAAGTTAACTTCAAAATGAAACCCTTAACAACCATTTACTTCAAATCCAAATTACTAACTGAAGCTCAACTTTAGAAGTAGACATGGAGGAGGAAGATCAAATGAGTATTGACTTAGAAAATTTAGTGATTTCGACTTAGGCCAACCAGGTTAATGGTTTTACTATTGGAACGCCCTTAAACTTTGGTTGGATATCTTGTATGATATCTGAATGACATGTATTTTGTGACGGTTTACATG